GAATACAGAATGCAGCAGGGCAGCTGCAGTGGCCTCTGCTCARCCAGAACAATGTTAATGCACTGGGTTTTGTCTTTTCTCCAAGGGAGCATAGGCCTTTCTTCATGTGCCACCAGATCTTTATCTCAGTGGGAAGAGAGCATTTATTTCTCTCAGTGYGCTTGAGGCTGACTGAAAGGGCTTTCACACCCTTTGAAAAAAGTTGCTCTGTACAGATGTGGCAAGTTCTGCGAACAGCTGGAAAAAATAACAATATCTCTTGTACACCCTTTTTTTGCAGAATTCTAAAACCCSCAAAGGGCCCCACTGCAGTGCACTTTGCAGCAGTGACAGCTCACAGGCTCCCAGCTCAGCCTGAACACAAGTGAGGCACTTTGCAGCCTCACCAGGCCAGGCAGCTTTGCTCATGAGCAGGACTTCCACCAGGGCAGTGAGCAGAGTTATGTGCTGCTGCTGCTGCTGCCGTGTTGTTGGGAAATCCCKGGGAGCCTGGGAAGCTGGGCAGTGCTTGATCCTCAGCTGCTGGTGTCCCAGGCAGGTGGGTTCCCATGCCAGCCTGCTCAGCTGTGGCAGGGTCTGCTCTGCCCATCGCAGCCTGCTTGGCTCCCACTGGAGAGCCCCTGGCAGGCAGCTGGCTGCCCTCTTCCCCTGGCCAAACCCTGGGCTACTCAACAGCCATCCTGATACTTAATATTCCAAATATGCATGAATAATCCACTGAATTTCAGTATACTGTTATTTTCTCACAATCTTTGTCCTCCCCATGGATCATGGCTGTCCCCTGGGGCAACACATTCCATTTCAGACCTGAGGAAAAGTTTGCATGCTGAAAGCTGCTCTGGATTTTTTTTTTTTTTTATTTTATTTTCCTAAATGTATCAGTGAATCTAATAAAGTATGTTCCCCTCTGTCCACAGACCTCGTTACTTTATGTTCTCAGATCATTATACCCCWGTCTGCTAACACCACCCTTGCCAAGGTGGAGTAAGTCAGTTGTTTGTGCTGTGACTGAGAGCTCAGGCACGTGAGTCTGCTGGGGTTATGGTTTTTCTGAAGTGGTCTTGAGGGAAACAGCTGGTCTAGCACTCAGAACATCTCTCTGCTCTCCTGGCCCTGGGAAAGATCACATATTTCTGAGTCACACAGGCTGCATCCTTGCCCCAGGGCTCCTGCTACCAACTTGRCTTTAGGTACTTGTTTGTTTTCCCTAACCTGGTTTACCTGCTGCTTGTTCCCTGGTTCGCAGCTCCTTTTTCTTCTTTCACATGGAAAATCATCAAGGGACAACCTGCAGCTTGCTTTGTAATTCTCAGTATRTACATAGAAGACAAGCACAGGTGTTTCAGGTGGTTCCAGTGGGTGATCTCCCATTTCGAAACCATTTTCCTTTATTCCTTTAGGCTGGGATAGGGGAGGTGAGCTGCTGTGCTGAGGCAAAGCAGTTGGACATTGTTGTTAAACCACTCCTCTTCTGCAGACTGCTCACCTRCCAGCACCGTGTCATATTGGAATTGCTAAGCTAGGTATAGCAGGTTGAAAAAAAGAAGTGAATTTGATATTTATGTTTCGTGTGTATTTTCTAATAAAGCTATTTGTAGGGAACAGACTAATTACCTGGGTCTCAGACTGCTGAGATTGTCCAGTCACCGCAGTCACTGACTGGTGTGGGTTGGAAGGGACCTTGACARTCACCTYGTTTCCAACACCCCTGCCATGGGCAGGGACATGTTCCACTAGAAGGTTCCTCAGGGCCTTGTCAAACCTGACCATACTTTATCCACAGCTTCTTTGGGCAGCCTGTTCCGATGTCTCACCACCTTCACAGTAAARAATTTCTTACTAATATCCAATCTAAATTTGCCCTCTTTCAGTCTGAAGCAATTCCTCCTTGTCTTATGTAAAAGTCCYGTTCCATCTTTTTGCAGGCTCCCTTCAGGTACTACAAAGTGCTATAAGATCTTTTCTCCCCTAGGCTGAGCAATCCCAGCTCTCTCAGTCTTTGTAATCAGATAYATTTTAACTTTGTTCCAGTTTCCATTTTTGTTATGCCATGAGTCTGAGTTCTTCCTTCTCCTTGGCTCTATTTTTGATGTATAGAACCAGTGGTTTAAAAGTCCTGACTTGCTGGTCATTTCAAGTTTTTATAAAACATCTTAGTGTTTCTCTTGGGCTTTTTTCATCCCTGACTGAACTTCTCATTATGTCATCTAAAGAATCTCTGTGTCAGTGCCAGAATGGGAGGGCTGTGGGTAGCTGAGGAATGGGGAGGGAGGGGATTCTTGTTTTGGAGAAGTTGTCAGGGTGTGTGGTGGAATGACATGGGGGAGCCTGGGAAGGAGGAGCCTGGGGGAGAGAGGTGATAGGGTCAGCACGAGAAAATATTTGGATATGCTGACCCAGGRAAAATGTCAGTGCAAGGCTTGATGGCTGGGCTGACAGGTAGATGAGCAGCACCCTCTGAGGACAAGCCCAGCTGACAGCCTCTGCTGCTGGAGATTTCCAGAGTGGGGCTACATAGCTGGACACCTGGGCTGGTGGCAGAGATGAGGGCAGTGGCCCGTGTTACAGCACAGGGACTTTCCACCCCCTCACCACTCCACTGCATGTACTCCACCAGTGCCTGTGCTATTAGCAACAATCTGAGTGAACAAATATTTCTGCTTTTCAAGTTTTAAGGGGAATGAAGGAAGCAGAAGTGTGACATCACCTGCATCTGGGTATGATTGTTGTCAGAGAGTGCACAGAGCAAATAAAAATAGTGGGGAGGGTGGGGGAGCTGGAGGAGGAGGTGTTGCAAGAACTGCACTGTGCTGCAAAATGTTCCTGTCACTGACAGTGTTATTCAGTGATAATGCCTTGGCACGCTACTTTTAGATACTGGTTCATCCCATTCCTCCTCTCTTTCCCTGTTGTAATTCCCAAATGGCTCTGGGCAGAGAAGATGAATGCAGAATTGGAGGTGTGTGACATACTCTACATGGCAAGCCTGAAGTGTGTCAAGCTTCAAAAGGATCACGTTACTGCTTTAAGGCCCCGTGCATGGTTGAGACTCCAGAGAAAATAAGGGAAACATTAAGTGATCCAAGGGCAGGTCACAGAGGTGTTCCCTGGCTCCCTCTGGGAAGAAACACCAGATATCTTTTCTCACCAGTGGAGTCCTGGCTTGGTTCCCACGGTGGCACAGCCAGAACCTGTGCTGTGGGGAAGCCTGGCTGTGCTGCTCCATACCTACGGGATCTGCAGCATCAGCAGGGCTCTGTTGTCACCGTGGTTAGATGGTCACAGTGAAATGTCAGGCAGGCTTGTCACTGCAAGGTGTTGTGTTCTGTACCTGGAAAGCTCATCATGATAACATGAATCACACACCACACTGAGGACTTGCTCTCTCCTCACCAGACTCAGCAGGTAGCTCACAGGCACTGGGTTGTGCCAGCTGGATTATGAAGAGATCCTAGGAGGGTGTCCCTGCTGAGAAACATTTCTTACCAAAGCAGGGTTAACCTCTGGTGACTGCTGAAARCTCCCACACTGGGCCAGTGCCATGTCAAGCAGCCCCCAACCCTGCAATGTGCCTCACCTTCCCTGCTGGTTCAAGATGGCCTTTCTCTTAGGGCAGAGAAACTGAACTTTTCTTTCTGTTTGTATTTATTTATTTTTTTAAACAGAGAGATTTCTGAAAAAAAAAGTACATGGGCTCTAATATGACCCTTCCGTGTTTCTGTGCAGTGCCGACCTTCTTATTTCCTGAATGGCTTGCTCTGCACTCCAGTTAACTCACACCCTGGATTCCATCCAAGTACATTCTGTTTCTTGATATGAGGCCAGGCTTTGCTGAGTTGTGGTGCCATTTTCTTCTGCCTGCTCTCCTCCCAGTTCCTCTATTATCATTCTCATTGCTGAGTGCTCCTGGCACCCCTTAGCCAGAGGGAAGAGCAGAGCCCAGCCCCGTGCCTGCTGCTGACAGCAGTCGGAGCAGGCGAGCTGGAACAGCAGCGAGCGACTCCTTCAAGGATGGTGTTGGCTGAGCTGTCCCGAGCTCAGCCCGTCACTGAGAGGTATGTCTGAAATCAGCTGAAGCAGAAAACATTTGAACTCTACACCCTGCCAAATARCTTCCAGATGTGTAAAATGTAGCCTCGCTGTGGACACCGACTGTAGCTCTGCCAACATACGTCTGCACATTTCTGATGCACAGGGAACATGAAAGTAGATATTTTACAACATCTGCTGCCTTTTCCTAGCTCTCCCTCCCTGCTTTTTGCAGTCCTTCTCCTATATTTCATCCTTCAAGTTAAAAAAAAAAAAAAAAGCTACAAGTCTTTCTACTGATTTATTGAATCATCTCTGCACATTTTGTACCTTTTTGTGCCAGCAATGTGGTAAAAAGGGAGAGAAACAGAGAGACTTTGTTCTTCTGCCTGGAGATCAAACCAGTGTCCGGGGCCTTTAATTATTTCTGTATTGATTCAAGGTGTTTTTTTTTCTTGCAGAATTGAATAATAAGATAATAYCACATTCCATTGAAAAAACCCAGAGATTTATCTTGCTTTCACACCGAGCATTACTGCCTTAATTCTGCAGTCACCTGGGGGGTGTCTGAACAGCACTGGCCAGAAGAGGAAAGGGAGAGAGAAGAGAGGTTAAGGATTAGGTTAAATGGGAAAGTGATGATACCTCTTATTTGAAAATAAAGAAAATGACTAGATTTTAAGGTCTTGCTTTTGAAGTACTGTTTTGGTTATGTAAAAAGAAAATTGAAGCCTTCCTTGTCTGTTGCTCCCAAACAAAACAGGATCGATAACCCTGTCTCCTTTGGTTTGCTCTGACTCTTTATCTGTGGCTCCACAAGCGGTGGTTGTTTGCTGACCTTTGTTTCTACCCCAAAACCTGTGTATTTTTTTAGGGAATAATTATCTTTGGAGCCCATGACTGTGTCGGTGTCATTTGTTCTCGAAAGTTAAGCAGGTCCAGGCCTTGGATATATTTTGATGAGAAACCACCTGGGAATCACAGAAGCCATCCACGTACGCCAGGGAGTTGTGGTCAAACTCCTGGCATGTTGTAGACCACAGGAATCTGATGAGTGCAAAGACTTCATCTGGTCCCATGATCGCTGCTGATAGGACTGAAATGCAGCAATACTCACACACCTATTTCTGTCTTCCTGCTGTGACAAAGTGGTGTGTGAGAAGCCTGTCGGTCAGCTCACCGGACGCTTAGAGATGAAAARGTCAAATGAAGGATATCTGTGTGATTGCACATGTCACAGAATGATGGCRGGGAGGCAGGGAGACATGGTGAGGTGGGAAAATGTGTTTGCTCTTCMGTCTGCCTGTGACACACACCGCCCTCTTTTGTGATCCTCAGCTCAGAGCAGTCCGAGCAGTAATGTTCACATTTTGCCGCACTGTTTGCAATGAACCAGCCTGGGAGATGCTTGGCCCTGAAGTAACCCATAATTTTGTTGGGATGATATGCCTGAAGCTGCAGATCTCACCAGCACTCTCTTTAGCCAGGTGTGCAAGCATGTTCCTGAATTTGGGCAGGTGCCTCACTGACATATTTTGCACTGAACCTGTGTGGAGGGAGCTACAAGACCCRGTTTGTTCTGGCCTAGCAGCTGCCCTGTGGGGGTGGTTTCTCTCTTGCAGGCTTTTGATGTCTGTGGAGGTCTTTTCTTAGAGCATTTTCTGGAGAGAAACCTCACCTTCTGCTGCTGAGGGYGTATGGACCAGACTGGGTATAAACCTCATTTAATCTCACCTAAAGCAGTTTGACCTGATGACCTTAAAAGTGTTTGCCAACCCAGATAATTTTACGATTCTCTGAAGGCTGTTTTAGTGCTATCCTTTTCAAGTCATATATTTCTTAAATTGGCTTTGGATACTTGAGGCATTTCTGTACCACAATTAAAGATGATTAGGACAAGGAAATGATACTTAAGAAAAAGGGTTTTAGGAACTAAAAGAATTGTCTCAGTTYACTCCTTCTTCCTCCAGTGCTACAAATAAAGCAAAAATGACCCCAGATATTGGCTGCTGCTTCACCTCTTGATATGATTTATCTACCTGTGTGTCAAAACTGAAAAGATCTGGATGAAACAGCTTTGCTTTTACAGAGACTTGCTTCTCAGCAGTTTAAATCTTAGAGACAATTTTATGTTGTGAAGCGTCTGGAAGTCTCCTTGGCCCCTTTCCAGCTCATTGTCCCATGGAAAATCTTTCTCTGAGCGCCCCCAGTGAGTGACCTCTGACTCTGTGCCTACAGGACTAGCAAAGCATCTCAGGTTTAAAGCTCCCGGGCTCCTCTTGCAGTCCCTGCCTAAGTATTATTTGARCAGGGATAGCGAGCAGCAGCCGCAACTTGTCAGTTCAGAGAATACAACTTAATTTACTAAACATCACCTCTGACACAATCATTCCATGTGTCAACATCACCATCTCTGCCGGTGCTCCAATTGCAATATCCCTCTGATAACCCAGGTAACTTTTGTAAGCACAGCGCAGATCGAGCAGCGGATAGCAAAGGAAGCCAGACTTGCTTCAGTGTTTGTGTCTGCCTGCTCTTCCCTTTGCTCAATTAGTTTTGGATCTGACTTATTTCATTCACAAGCCATCTCTTTGATCTACTGCCTCGAGTACACCCTAAGCCACTTCTGTCTTCCTTCTCCAGTTTCTTAGGCTTATATTATTGCTCCCTGATGGCTCTGATCTCACATTTTTAGCTGCTTCAGGCCTTCTTGATATTCCCAGTGAAACTACAACAATCCTCTCTCTTCAATCACGCTTAGGTGTAAATTTCATCTCTCTGTTAGTCTGCCAGCTGACTTCTCTGGAGATTTCCATACCCCACAGCTCTGTGTGTGTGCTGAGACTGAACATGGAGATAGTGTGAAAATGGGAGATTACAACTCATTCATATTTAAAGTGCTGACTGTTTCAAAGGCAGAGTTTTCATACTTTGTGTATGATACTGAATGAACCCTACAGCAAACTCCATGCTGCTCCCCAGTCTCACGGGACTGACTTCCCAGGTGTTCTGGGAGCTACAGGAGTGGGTCATGGTGATGATGCAGGACAGCAGGTCTGGGACCCTTCACTCTGCCTTCTACTTGGAGGGCTTGGACTGGCAGGAGGTGAAAAGACATTACCATTAGTGGAAAGAAAATCTATGTCAACCTTGTCTGTGCTTTTCACCTTTATCAGACACTGGCTGTGTTGTGAAGGGACTGACCAGAGTTCTTCTTAAGAGTGGTTAGCTACTTTTTCAGAAGCTTGACTGTCTGCATGATGTTCTCCTTGGTCATTGACATCATGGTCAGCTGGGSTCTGTGATGTAATCCCTGTTTCCAATGAAGCAAGTATTGCCAGTCAGAGGATTTTAAACCTATGGTAATGAATCCAGGTTCTTTATATTATTGTGTTGTTATCATGTGTTATTATTGTGAATAATAATTGGCATTAAAATCCATGCTGCTTTCATGATCAGTGCTGGCTTTTGTGGCTCAGCTGTGAGGGTTGAGGCCCTGGAGAGCAGAGGCAGCACTTTCCAGTCCCTACAAGTCCGACTGTTTGCAGCRCAGTTTGACTGTTGGTGACACGCAGGGCCCTTCAACACATGACCCAATATTAATGATCACAAACCTTTTATCTCAACCACATGGAGGTTTTCATCCTRCCTTGGTTCTTTCATGGTAAGGGGAGAATTTTAGAACTAGAACAAGCCAAAGAAGCCGCAGGCAGCAAAGAGCTGACTCAAATTTTTTTTTTGTGGGTGTTGATGTTAAGTTTTTCCTGAGGTGCTGGATGACTGCTCTTGAGAAAATGATGTTCTTGCACAGCTGGTGGAATGATGACAGACTGATTACTGATACCACATAGCTCTGAATTTTACTGCATTTGTATATCAGGGCTTATGGATGTTCCAATTTATAGTTTTGGGTAATTGAATTGCTAGCACATGTAAAATGCACAAGGAATGAAACTCTTGCATATAAGAATCAGACAGCTTAAATGCTCCAGAAGTTTATAGTCATCTTCAGCTTGAACTGTTTATTACCTGGGGAACACATGCCATTTAATGTGATGACCACTTTCAGTAGTTTCATAAATGTATTCAGTCTGATATAAATTATTGTACACTTTATTATTATTATTGTAGCACATATGGAATGGATGTATAATTCAGGTTTTTACTAGTGCACAGTCTGCTGCTTGTATTCAAAAGTACAGTGGGCAAATGCCCAGAAAAAATCTGTTCAAATTGCAGTTTACATGATTAGGAGATATTGAAAGCAGAAGTACCTATTTCCTGACAGCAAAAGAAAGAATCCTATGTAACTACTTACAAGCTGTAACCACAGCAAATGAAGAGTGTGCTCAGTGCTCTTGCCTGAACTAGCTTCTAACTTAACCCTGAGATATTCATAAAAACTCTTAGGGGAATATGATAGTATGTTCCAGTTTGACAGAGCAGTCCAGCTCCTCTGTTAGGTAAAATAATGCTCAGCTAAAAAGCATGGAAGGATTTACTGGAAAAACAACAACCCAGGTTAAAGGTATTTGTGGTCGTGAAAACAAACAGAAAAAAGCACTTCAAAATAATCCCCGCTTCATCCTCGAAGCCCTGAAATGCAAAGTGCAAATGAAATTCCTAGAATTTACACAATAATTGCACAATGATTGATAAACAGAAAAACAGACAGCAAATGAATTTCCAGGGATTTCAGAGAAGAACATGAAAAGCTTAGAGTGCAAATGAAAATAAACAGTGAGACCTCGCTTCATAAATGTTCTACATTATTCCTTGGAAAAAAACCCGAAACCAATTCAGAGAAAGAGAGGATGGGCCATTRTGGGTCTTCCGGCCTTGAGAAGGGTGGAATGAAAAACCAGAAAAGATAACCAGGCTCTTTGGATCCAGTATTTTAAAATCTTTCTTAGGATAAATATTTTAAAACTTTTTTAATCCTTATTTTTTATTATTTTCTTTAAGAACATCATATTGTAGCAATGGTCCAGTCTGCTCCAGTGGAAGGCAATCAGAGGTAGAGTTTTATTCTTCTGTTTCACTCTTTTTCTCAGTTCCCAAGTGCCACACAAGAGAAGTGGGATCCTTTTCTAAATAAGCAGAGACCTGATTTGAAAGATGGGTTTGCATTTCCTTGGTATGTGTGCATGCCCTACCAGAACAAGTATCTATTAGTTTATGTGTATTTTATGTGTGATTAGACATTTCCTCCTTCTCACTGAATACTTACCTTGCCTTCTCATCCCCAAGGAATTTTACGCTCTATCAATTATTGGTAGACTCTTTCATTGTCTCTTCAGTCCTTACACTGCCCAGTGCCCATTTTCGGAAGCAGGACAAAGTCAGAAAAAACAGTCTCTAGAGTCCAGGCTCATTGCTGGTCTTTTGTAGCAGTGCAATAGTCACACTTTTCCATAAATTCCCAAATGTACTGAGCTTTGGTTTTGTGCAAAATTGGAAACTTTAGTCAGCTTCTTCAGGAATTTTTAAAACACTGAATAGTCACAAACTGTAAGGGGTTTTGTATTTGCAGGGTTGTGTAGCATGCAAATGCAGACTGAGATTATGAATTGGTATTACCCACTTAGTTAATGAGGACTATTTTTTTTTTTTAACACATGGGGGAAAGTACACACTGTGTACATATACTTTTAGTATATTCAAAGACTTTCCAAATTAGTCCAAAGACTAATTTCAAGGGATTAGACATTCAAAAAGCCCTATCTCCCCCCAATTTCTTCTCCAAACCGTGTCACTTGACTTTGTGTCTCCGAAGTCCAGTTTCTGCAAGACTAATATTCCAGTCTCTTCTTTTGCAATATGTGGAAACTCTCAGGTGGAATGGCTTAACCTTGACCTCTTTTGCAATTTAATGCCTTGTAGGGCAGCTAAAAAAATGKTTTTTATTATTTAGAAAATGATTTCATTACTTCTTGAACTGAATCTAAAATGAGCATGGCTCATCAATCCAGTGTTTTAATGAGGAATGTTATTGACTTCAGTTCTGAAATTCACCTCCTGGCAGCCATTAGGATCTTTCAGCAAACTCTATCAAAATGGCATTCTCTATGCATCTAAG